GTTTTTTGGATGCGTTCTGGTGCGTTTTTATGCATTTGCATGCGGTTTTAATGCATTCAGATGCAGCTAAAATAGGACGAGCAGTATTTTTTCTGACTGCATCTGAACGGACTGCAATAGTGTGAATACAGCACAAGAAAGCCCATAGGAAAGCATTGTGATGTATTTTGGCTGCAGCAGCCAAACTGAACGGACTGCATCATAACTGCATATGGTGTGAACTAGCCCTAAATGTCTTCCTCAAGGAACATATTATAGAGGGCTATGGAAAGTCTTAGGGACTCAAAATCACATGCAGGTTGAACTGGATGAATGTATATTCTCAACCTTGGTGAATAAGTAACTATGCAACTATAATCTTTATGTTTTAACAAGGCAAGAAAACCTTTACTGCATGTGCACAGTACATTTAAGATGTATAAAGTAATAGTACTCCAGTGATACAGACAATTCAGCTAAAAAGCAAAGATTCTTAAATTTGTATACTATATCAGTAAAGTATAAAATATCTTTACAAATGACATTGAAAACATTATGTTTGCTATGAAACTGTGGTAGATGTAAGAGCATAGAAAAATAATAGGAAAGTAGGAGAAAAGCCGGAAGATAAACTGACAAATAATAAGCTGTTTGGGGAATGGTTCTCATGTTAAGAGCAATGACTGAAAGATAGCTGCTGTAGGGGAAGTAAAATATGCATGACAAAAAAAAAAATCTATTGCTGAAAAATGGGGCTTGTAAATGTACCAGTCAGAGTGAAATAGGATCAATCTTCTATTGTGTATTTTTTTTTTGTCAACACAAAACACCCAACCATTGGATCATTTAAACTGTAACTCTCAGTGAAGATAAGCAAATTGACCTGTAATATATGAACTAATGATACGTTTGAAGTTGAAAGAATGCATATCAGCTTTTATATAGTTGGTAAAAACTATACTTGTCATAACTAAACATATTTGTGTTAATTTGTTAAATTAGGTAATGAGAAACGTTATTGCTAAATCAGTAGTCTCATAGCAGAAATGTAAAAACTGTTGTGGCCATAGGTACAGGTGTGAGAGCAGAAGAGAGTATGCTAGTCAAAGAAAATGACATACTACGCATGTAATACTCAATAAAAGCAAGTAATGGTTATAATTTTGAGTATGGCTTATGATTGTAAAGTCAGTTATAAACTGCAAGTTACCATAAGGAACACCTCAGGTATTTTGAAGAGTGAAGCCTGTTATTCCCTCCACTGGGACATATATTTATATGTAAAGTCAAAACGTTTTGTTTAGTTTTGGATAGCATAGGTAAGGAAGTAAAAACATTTAAGGATTTTTTGTGCTGTCTGTATCTTGCTGGGAAATTTTCACTTCACTTCCTATCTTGGAGATGCAACAGGTGGTGGGAAGAAATTGCCTCACATTGAAGGGAAATTCCCATCTTACTTTCTATGTTAGTGACAATGGTCACCATGGAAAATAGAGTGGTGAATCTGTGGTGAAGAGTGCTGTATTTACTGTGGAAACTAGTTACAGTGTATGATTGCACAGCTTGTCATATCCACTATAAGGCCAAACCCTCTTTGACTCTCTTTTCACTATGCAGAAACATACTCTTTCTCCCTCCAGAGTGAAGCCTACTGTACATCTATGTTTCCTTCCTCCCTCCCTTTATTATACTGACACATTCCATAATAATAGTTTATTTCCACAGGAATTAGGGATATTGAACAGTATATACTACAGTATTTCTGCACCATTGCTACAGAATGATACTGTGCCAATGAGGTAATCAATAATTCAAAACATAATGGACAGACAGAACAAAGTAGACTACTAAAAAGAGAAAAAAAACTGGGAAAAAAATATATTTACATTACATCATGTTCACCCTTTAAACTACAATATCCAGACATAGAACGTGCAGGTATCTGAAAAGTTCAAGTGACTTTCTGCAGGCAGCCACCTTACAGTAAAACAGTACCTGTTACTGTTATTGAGGAAAATATGGGGAAAAAAATATTGAGCTCTTAAGAAATTTAAACTTTTCTAGGATATAATAGTCAATGGGCATTCCTGCCAAGAGGTAAGACAATGTCATCTTAGAAGACATCAATTTTACAATAATACCTTATAGATTGCCCTGCAACTTTACTTTTCCTGATAGCTGCTATACTATTTTCACTGCAGGAGTCAGTGGTGTCAGTGACATGTCACTGTATTCCAGATTTAATAGTTTTACCTGTCAATAGCAACTGTCAGAGGTTGTCATAAAAACAAATGGACAGATTGCTTCTTCTTTATTTTCTTGAAGAACTAAAATGTTTGATGCAGGAGTGGCTCAAGTCCTCACTGCAGTCAAAAACTGGTAAAAATGTTGCAATTGAAGACCATGTCATATTATTCTGTATACCTCACTATGTGATCAAAATACATGTCCTATAAATTTGTAAATCATGGGTTTGAAGAATGGAGCTAATGTTGCTGGAGAATTGAACACTTTCTCTTTGGAGAGAGTAAGTGCCATTTCCTTTGCCCTGTTAGCTCACTATACTTCACCAAGGAAAAAAATTTGTATGGCATACAGCATTTTAAACTGGATGAAGAGATCTATCTTCAGACTGCAGTTATCATGTGGTAGGTCTGGGTGGACAACTAGACACATGGGCATAAAGTAGTGTTCCTACTAACCCAAATAGAAGTATAGAGGAATACCGTGTGTGCATGGTAGTTTATCAGAGGGTCACTTGATTTGTTATTGTCTACTTCCACATAAAAAAAGCTTGATTTACCATCTAGATCAGGCTGTCAAAACTAAGACTTATAAACGGGTCAAATTAAAGGGACTAAATCTTTAAAGGGGCCACATTATGTTTGAGGGTTGCCATATGTCTACTGAGAGCTGCATTACATCTACTGAGAGCCATATTATATCTGCTTAAGTCAACACCTACTTAATTCCAAAAAAATATGGTTGCACTTGAGAACTTGGAATTATAATACAATTTAACCAGTTGCCGTCCGCCCGTAGTAGAAAAACGGACGGACGGCACTGTCGCATTCGCGGGTTGCCGTCGCCAGACGGCATTTTTTTTCTGCTCGCGCGCGCCCCCTAGCGGGCACGCACGGGCAGAAAAGACCCGTCCAATGCGAACACCCGGTACCGGGTGTTTCACATATAGGCGATCAGCGGGTCCATAGCCCGCCGATCGCCTATATGTGCTCGTTTGCGTCCGTTGCATAAAGAGGACCTGTCAGTGTGCTTTTGCTATTATATAGGGGGATTGTTATCCCCCTATATAATAGCAATAACAATAAGTGCAAAAAAATTAATATAAATAAAAATAAATAAAAGTCACATATAAAAAAGTAAAATAAAATAAAAGTCAGATATAAAAAAAGGGGAAAAAAACCCCCAAAATGTTTAACTCCCCCACCCCCACGTTTACGCGCCTATAAACGTAAATACGCGTCCGGTGCCCCAGCGCGCAAAAATTACAATTGCGCTACACATGTTACATATCGCCGCGAACGTCGCAGTGAGAGCAATCATTTTAGGGCCATCAATCACTGATAACACTAAACTGATGAGCGGTAACAGCTTTTAAAGCGTCGCCTAGGGCCAATTTTGGGTATTATCGTTTTTTGAGGTTTCGCGCGCGCACGCAATTTTAAGGCTTGACATGTTTAGTGTCTTTTTACCCGACGTGACCCCATCTTTTATATTTTACCAAAAAATTGGGTAATAATAAATGTTTTATCATTTAATATAGGGGAAACTGTTTTTTTTTTTTAATTTTCGGTGATTTTTCCTTAATATAGTAAAAAAATAAAACCCCCCAGTGGTGAATAAATACCACCAAATGAAAGCTCTATCTGTCCTCAAAAAAGGGTATAAAATTCATTTCAGTACAGCGCTGCATGACGGAATAAATGTCAGTCAAAGTACCGCAGCGCTGAATACTGAAAAATGGCCTGGATGGGAAGGGTGTTTAACACCGCGGATGTCAACTGGTTAAAATTACCATATTTAATCCCAAATATAGGGTCCAAAAACATTCTTTAAGTACAACATGATGTAATTATTTAAAGACGTGTAAGATCAACTGGAAAACATCTGAGTATGCATTCTTTTTTTATCCCTAAACCACTGAGGGCCCTAGAGAAGGAGCAACAGTGCTTTAGGTGGTCCATAAAACACTAGTTTGACATGTCTAGTCTAGAAGGAAGCATTTAATAGATCAATGTAAATTTTGGCCTTGTTTGATTTTATGGTAGTAAAAAAATGATATGTTCCTGTTAAGGGTTGCTTACAAAGTATTTCATCATATATTTGACTAAATATAGTACTACATTTATAAAAAATACAATATAATATATAATATATAAAATATATATTATCAAATATATAAAATAATAAATATAATACTAAATATTTTTCTAAATTGTATT